TTCTGCAAAATCACAGACACCTTAACCTCCTATACATACCTCTTCTTCAATAGAATCGTACCTCACTTCCGAAGTAAGGGTTCAGCGAGAGGCCCTAGGAAAATAAAATTCTGGCCTTAGGGCCAGGTAAATTTGGTTCACACTACATTCGGTGGTCAGAAAGGAAGTGCCAGAGAAAAGAGATGTAGTACGACTGAGTTGGGAAAAGGAAAAGAGGGAGAGACTTGTGTGCGGCTGGATGGGAAATAGAATTAGGGTTGCTTATATATGGTTTGGAATCTACTAATTGGAACCCTAAATATTTATTTATCACAAAAATGATACCAATGAACTTAATTTTCACAAACAGGGTAGGGCAGAACGGGGCGGGCCATTGTCTTTTCCCATGGCAATCATGTTTTGAATTGCCATCACTAGCTACAACTCCCCCAATTTTTTTTTCAAAAATAATTATCATCGCTTCTTCTCACTTGTTGCCCTCCTCGTTTCCCTTTTATAATCCCTAGGAGGTCGCTTGAATGAATCTCAATCGAATGGGACTTGTTTTGAATCCTTCGCGATGTAAATGGTGAGACTTGTATGAAGAAATTTACATACAGATTTTGGAGGCATTGCAAAGGAAGGAAATTCTTTCAACTTTGCTTCTTACTATTGAAAAGAGGCCAAACGAAGTAACTAAAGCTCAATGCAAATTGAACTCTCTTGAATCTAAGCCTCACTACCGTCTTAGAGCGTTACAAGGAATTTAGGGCATGCCCACGCGACAAAATTAGCATCTGAAGAGGAGAGAAAGTTGTAAATTCTTTGAACCCTTGTAAGTAGACTAGCCTTTTCTTGGCAATTGGATATGTGAGTTCAATCAAATTGGATGTGGCATTGTAGTTTAGAGGAATGGTTGATTTTAGGTATGATAAGTGATTCCCCCCCTCTTTCTTAAGTCCTTTAGATTCTGATGCATCAACATTACATTAGATTTTATCCTTAGAGAAGCATGTGAAGGGGGCAAGCAAAACCATACAAATCCATAAGAGAGAGTCCTTTTTATTTAAAGAATAACCCCAAATCCATTCTTTTATTTCCTTCCACGAAATGGAATTAAATGGCCCCCTGTTTTCCTTGGCCCAATGTGCATTTGCTCACTAAAAAAATAAAAAAGGACCAAATTTGGGCTCCTGTCTTGCCTCTCAGCTTGGCCATGTTATTTTTCACAGGGTATTCAATAGTAGCTACTCAAAATCAACCACCTTGTAATTGAATAAGAAAGTAAAAACAATAAAGTAAATTATGTGGGTTGAAGTGTTTTTTAGTTGAATTCTAAACCGCTAAACAAGAAAAGAAATGAAAAACAATGCAAGGAAACAAGAAATGAAAAAGACTAATATTTACGTAGGGGTCGTTTGGGTCAAGGATTGTAATATTGAGGGATTTGAGTTAAAATCTCTCGTTTAAAAAACCTAGGTTTTTAATATGAGGAATTTTAATAAATCACTTGTTTGTTTATAAATTTGGGTTTTTAATAAGAAAATGCAAAATACAGTTTTGCCCTTCTTCCTTCATCTTCGTTCCCAAAAATTAGCGGCATCAAACCCAGAAAAGAAAATCCAGACCATCATCTCCGATCGGTTGTCTGTCGTTGTCTCACCATGCACGCTAGATAGGGTATTCTGGAAGTTGCTCGTCATCTTCCTTCTCAAACTCTTTCCCGACGGCAAGGACATCTGAGTTCGATTCGAACTTCAAGCTTCAACCCAGATTCGACCTCTGTGTTCGAACGACTTTGATTCGACCTCTGGCTTTAATTCAACCCATAAACCCAGATCAAGACGATGGATTTAATGCCGCCAAGAGGAGGTCGTCGACATCCAGATTTAGAACCCAAATCTCGTCTTTCTTTAGGCTAACAGATCCGGCGAAATTGCGGAGGATGGGTTGAGAATCGCGCCGGGAAAGAGAACCCAGAAATCCGAGATGCCTTGCATCTGCTTGACCGGATCTGGAATCGCCGCCGGAAGGCACCATGCCGCTGCTTGACCGGAATATGCAGGGAGCAGCCTATGACGATGAAAGTTGAGAGATGAGAAACGGATTTGGTTTTATCAAATTGATGGGAAGATAAGAAGGATGGGATTTGGGAGATGAGAAATGGATTTGGTGTTGGTGGCTTGTTGCTGCTTGCCGGAAGGAAGAAGGAAAAAGATTAGAAGGAGGAGGAGAAATGGAAGAGGAAAGGGTCTCACGGAGGAAGGGTCAACATTGGAAATTTTGGAAGAAAAATGAAGGATTTAGAAATAGCTGACCTCCATTAGCTATTTTGAAATCCCACACATGTGGGTTTTCAAAATTCTTGATGCATACAATCTCTCGTCTTCCCAAACACATGATTTTTTTAAAATCCTGCATAATGAGAGATTGTTTTAAAATCACTCATAGATCCCTCATTATAATCCTGCATCCAAACGACCCCGTAGTGATATCTTGATGATAATGCATAGTAACTCATTAATGAGTGCTACGATGCATTATCTATTAATGATGTCTTATTCCTTTCACTAAGGCCATCCTACTCGAGCTTTCGTCACATGCAATAGGAGTTTGACTAACTAATGCGTACTTTCACTTCATGCCATCACCTAATCAATGAACAACAATGAATTTAGGATATCATATGGTTAAGTGTGGGCCTCTTAAGCCATAACTCATAGATATAACATCGATGATCTAAAAATCAACCATTGATATCATGTAAACATGCATAGATGCGTCCAACTAAACAAGCATACACATAATAGAATCATAAGCATCGATGATCTAAAGCATAAATAACAATAGCATCTAGGGGTGGGCAAACAGTTCAGTAAACCCGAACCGAAACCAAATTAAACCGAACCGAAACCAAAATAATATTATTCGATTCAGAATTCAGAAGGAAAATATGGATATTTCGGAAATCAGGGTTCTTTCAACCGAACCGAAATTTCGAATTTCCGACCGAAAAACCGAAATACTATAATTGCAACCTCCAAATGGTGGATTTTTATGTTTGTAGTTGTTTTTAGACTTAAAAATTTGAAATGTTTTATGACTTATGTGTTGAAAAGTTTGATTTTATCATTGATGATGCATATAATTGCATATTTATTGTTTATATTAGGGGTAAAAAATAATTTAAAAGTGAGAAGATACAAGTAGTCTCACAAATTCGGTTTTATGTGAAAAACCGAACCAAACCAAATTATATTTTGTTTTAAACCGACCGAACCGAATTATAATTCGATTCGAATTCGGTTTGAGAGAATTCGGGGACCCGGTATTCATAATTTTGGTTCGGTCGAAACCGAACCGACCGAATGCCCACCCCTAATAGCATCGAATAACTCATGCAATAGATGATACAAGGATAAATTGGCATCAAATATTGATCATAGAGACATTAAATACAATAGGCATATCATTAAATCATTGACAGTAGATGCATAAAGCATCAAAAGAACTCACTTCCCTAAACAATAACGCTAGCACGTCATAGGTCTTCCTTCTAAGCTAAGGAAATGATATTCCTTTCGGGATAAGCAACCCTTACAAGCCCATCCAAGTCTTCATTGTCGTCGCCTTCTTCTTCCTTCATTTCCATTCGATCTCTCAAGCCTTTATTCTCTCTTTGTTCTCCCCCCTCGTATTGTAACAATACAATGAACTTTCCTTTGAGCTGGTCCACATCCATATCATCAAGATGACGATCCAAATAGGTAGCAAATTTCTCTCTTAGCTTCTTAGCCCTTAGACATGTGATTGGACCTTCTTTTCAAGTTGTAGGCTTGGTTTTGATGACCTCTTAACCAATATAGTATAACATTATTATTATGTGAGAAAATTTTCTCTTAACCCTTAATATAAATGCATGCAACTAATATAATTATCTTACTATTATTAGAAGTAGCGACCTAACAAAAATTATACCAATGGCGCAGGGTAATGAATTGGACGTGTCTACGCGAATTGCCTTAGTCTCTTCAGTGTCATTAAGGGATACAGATCCTGTCTCTTTGAGGTTTTTATCCAACATCATGTATGATCTTTATATAAATTAGGAGCTCATATAGTTGTTGTCCACAGTTTACAAGATTAAATATAGGATAAGAACAATTATGAGCTTTATCTTTTATGAATAAAAAATTGAGAAACATTTGACTCTTGAGTGGTTATACAAAGTATTAAGAATGCGATATATAATATAATAGATATATTATTAAATTTTTAATTGGTTTTATTGATTAGCAGTGTCTGAAACCAACCAAACAAGCTTGAAAATTTAACTAATCCAGATCAATTATCAAAATTAACTAAACCAAATTAAGAGTTGTTCCGTACCCTTTTTAATTTTTGAAAACTAATCAAAAAAATTTCCTTTTCCGTGTAATTAAGCTGATTGCTTTGGTTTTAATACACCCTCAACCTTATAAAATAGTGATATATAATTAATCTTTTTTCAACTATTCTAATTATTGGGACCAACAATTTATGAAGGGTAAATGTCACATTTGGTCACTGAGATTACTAAATCGTGTCATGTTTAGTCACTAGAAAAATTTAATACCAATTTTGGTCACTCGTATTACCGAAACAGGTCACATTTGGTCACTCTCCTGTAGTCTCTGTCCAGCTCCGGTCACTCGAATTATTGAAACATGTCACATTTAGTCACTCGAATTACTGGAACATGTCATATTTAGTCACTCTTCCGTTAGTTTCCGTCCAACTCCAATTGGATTTGGACGGAAACTAACGGACGAGTGACTAAATGTGACTTGTTTCAGAAAATCGAGTGACCAAAATTGATATTAAATTTTTCTATTGACTAAACATGACACAATTTAATAATCTCAGTGATCAAATGTGGCATTTACCCGATTTATGAACTTCGTTAATCTTCAATATAGTTTTGGGCTTCTAAGAGTGTGATATACGACCAGTAGTAGGCCGATCCTGTATCTTTGAAGAGCCTTCTGTCCATTGAGCCCAGGCGATCGGCCGGCCCGATTCACTGGCCTTTTCTCTGATGCCATGAAAAAGAACGTCCACCGAAGCGCTATAAACTTCCCGCGATCGCTGAATTTAAAAAGCCAATTCGTTCACACCGTCGCTTTTGGTTCATTCCAACCTCAAATTTCGACAGTTCTCTGTCCAAGCTTGGGCTTCCCGGCGCTGAGAAGGATTCGCTACTCACTGGTCAGTCTTCATCGTGATCTTCCGCCGGAGTAACTTCGTTTGAGGTAACTCTCTGTTCAGTTTGTTCTCGATCTGTCAGCTCTTACGCTTTTCTATACCGATGTTCATCGACTCTGGAATGAGTATTCCGCCGTATGCGAGCAAACGGAAATGTTTAGATCTTCTATGTTCTGATTTTCGAAGCAATGAATCGCTCGTCTGGCGAATACGGTGTTTCGTGTTTCCTTGCGACTGATGCATAATTAGCTCGCACTCCAGATTTGATAGGCATCCATGTCGTAGGGATTGACTGGAACTTAGAGAAGAATCTGTGAAAATTCTGGCGAATCAATTAACTCGCTGTTCATTTGTGCTCTTTGGATCTCCACTAAATGCCTGCCATCTGCTCGACCTATGTCCGCAGTGGGCGCATACTGCCGATTCCGTTGTCGAGATACACTCATATAATTAGTTGAATCTAGCGTTATAGGAGACATCTCTTATTTTGCTATTGTAAGTCCTTGAGCGAGCCATTCTGTTGCGGTTTCTCTTTCTTAATTCATTCAGATTTGACGTTCGAGAATCAGACAAATGGAAAACGGATCACCTGAAAACTTGCCTAAGCGCCTGAAGCTGGGGGTATGGCTGTTGCTCGGTCACTCGCTACTTTTTTATGTCTCTAAGTCTGATGGAATCTTAATATAGCGAAGGTGTTGAACTCTGTTGTCATTAATTCACAGATGGAGGAGAAGGACCGTGAAGTGAATGAGAAGGAGGAGCAATTAGAAGGAAGCCTAGTTGTTTCTGATGAGATGGAGGCTAATATCTCTCAGATTCTGGAGAACATAGATCGCTTCACCCAAATGGTAAATAGTAGCTAAAATGATATCGGACGTTAAAAATGGATTATATCATATTATCATGATACGGTGTGTGTGGGTGTCTCTTTGTAGGATATTCTCCAGTGGTTGAATTTATCTACCACTTTGGCTAATTGTAGACGGTTTCATGTCTTCTATCGCGGATGCACATCTTGTTTTCCTGTGGAGTTGCAATTGTTTATCATTTCTCTGCTGTGTCCTGCATCTGTACAGGTTACTGAGCTGATGGAAGCCGGGAAAGCTATGTTCAAGGAGCTGAGCAATGATTTCGAAGAACGCTTGCTTATGTAGAGCTTTCAAGTTTTTTTTTTTTTTTTAAACTCTTTCTGGGAAGGATTCTATCACTGTGGCTATGGCTGCTCTACATCTCTGTACTAAATCCATGTTTTGTCTTCAGGGTCCACAAGGAAAAAATTGAAAAGTGGAAAGAGGAGATAAGAGAACTGCGGTTGCTTGATGGCGCCAATGAGGAGATCAATGCTGTTCTGCTCAATGCTACATATTTGTTTCACAATCCTAACTTGGACTCTTGAAGGTATTTTCTCAACTTCTGCAAACTAGTAGTCTCTCCTTGCCAGAATGCCGTCCAGAGTTAAAGTCGACTAGGCTATCCAGAGTTACGAAAGCATGCAAGGGGTTGCTCTAATTTGGCTTTGTCCTAGAGCTTAATCATCATTAAGGTTTTGCTACGTAGGGCTGAATCGAAATTTCTAGTTGCGTAACAAGCCGATTTTCTGATTTGTCCAAAGCTGTTTTTGTGACGATACTGCTCAGTATACTTGCAATTTGCAAAAGAAGAAGGTTGGTCGTCACTATTGTAAAATATGGTCTCTGAAAATGCTAGGAACGTCTATGCCGTGGACCCAGCAATCAGTAGCATATGTTGGATTACTTACAGTATATACTGAGTTAGTGAGTTATAGTTGAATGGAAGCAAGTTAATTGATATTGTTCCTATTATATTGCTTTATGAGCTTAAATGCGTCAAGAGATAAGTTGACATTTGATAGCTTTTGCTTCTTTGCTGAATCTCTGATCCATGTGCTTCGGATTGAATTTCAGTTTTTGCTATCTGGGACTGACAAAAGCTCTTGTTGTGGTGCTACATCAAGTTGGAGTTGCATCTCGCTTCTACTATGCAAACGTGCTCTTGGGATGGACCAACATGTTGCTGGTAGTCTTGATGCTGGATTAAATACATAACAATGGACCAATTTATGTCATTTGTAGTTGTGTTAGAGAACATAAGGCACGATTCTACCAAAAATGTTCGGCTTATGGTCTTGTCAATTACCAACTACCCATAGGAGCATTATCTTTGTCAATATGTTTGTACTTGTCCCTCAGCCTCAGTATCACACAATTATGCTACCATAATCTGTTACGTCTTCTAAAGTTTTTGTTGCTGATTTTCTTAAGTTTGTTAATTTTTCTTAGTTCTCTATTCAAGAATATTTTTTGTGCTATCATGTATTTCAGTGTTGTTAGATTGGATTGGTAAGACGCAACCATGAAATTAGCTAGGAACCTCCACCTAGTGGATGGGTGGCCATGAATTCTGACGGTTCGGTGGCATGGCTGTGGCAGGGGGTGTCCTGAGAGAGGAAAGGGGTTGATTGTTTAAGGCTTTCGCGTTGTATATCGGTGAGGCATCCATTACTAGAGTTGAATTGGAAGGAATTGTGAATGGCCTGTAGGTAGCGTGGAATGAGGGATATATACGAGCGCTGGTCCAAACTGACTCTCGGTCTCGGATTGCTATCCAACTGATTGAGGAAGCTGATAAAATTAGCCATTCTCAATTTCTTTTGGTGCAATCAGCCTGTCGGCTGATGGATCGAGACTGGCAAATTTGGCTTGCACATGTGTTAAGAGAAGGAAAATTCGTTGCCGACTATCAAGCCTCGGTAGGACATCGTCTACCGTTAGGTTTCCACCTCATGGAGGAGGCTGATCCTCTTCTGAACTATTGGTTGTATTTTGATGTTATTGGGGTGGAAACATCTCATGTGATTGATGTTTGACGTTTGGGGTGCCCATAACACTCCGTTTTTGCACACAAAAAAAAAGAAGAAGATTGGATTGAAAATTAAAAGTTCTGTCAAAACCTCTTTATTTACAACCATCTTGTATTCATAAAATCAAAGTTCAAGGGTTACATTGCCATCCACTAAAAGTTGGGGTATCAAGAAAATAGTAGGCCGAGACGTCCAGACTTCCGTCTCCTCTACTCGACTTTTCATCCGAGCCATTGTATGGGCACATTCGTTTCCAGCTCTTCCCCAGAATTGCCACTTCACATTTCCTTCCTCACCAGCTATTTCTCGGACCTCATCACATATCACCACCACCTCCATCTCTGTAGTCTCCCGTCTATTGAGCTTCTAAATTACGGATTGACAGTCGGATTCCATCAATAGGGGTAGAAAATGGTGTGCTCGAGCAAGCTTCAGTCCCCAGAGTAGGGCTTGGGCCTCCGCCATCTCCACCGGCCATTTCGTTCTCGTCTGGTAAGTCGCTCCCATCTGGAAATGTCCCACTCCGTCTCTGATTATCAGACCATAACCTATTCCCTCTTCACCTAGGCTCGCTGCATCGGTGTTCAATTTGAAGGTTCCCTACGACGGTGGTTCCCATTTGACCTGGGTTCTTGAAATCGGAAGCTGCATTCCCGACTTTCTCGATGATTGTTGAGATTGATATTCCTCCAGGTAATTTTGAGCCCTTACCGCTATTTCCCCTTCTTCTAGTTTCGAATTATTGAAGAGATGGTTGTTGCGCTCTTTTCTTAAGAACCATAGAGTGATTAACACCTTAGTCAACTCTTCCTCACTCGTTACTTCGACCAAATTGCATAGCCATTCTTCACAGCTTTCCCCCTTTCCAATGGTGAAATACTGAGCCAGATCACTAGGTCTCCACACCATACCTGCCTAGTCACATTCCCGCGTAATATGTTCTTGTGTTTCCACAAGCCCACAGAAAGGGCATTCATCATGTGCAAACTTTATCCTCCTGCTTAGGTTGGCCCCAGTAGGTAAAGTAATACTCCCCCATCGCCAAACAGAGATTCACACCTTAGGAGGTAATTGAAGCATCCATAGTTGTTTACAATCAATGGGTATATACCTCTCTATCTGGTTAACTGCCTGTTTCTTGCTCCACTCTGTGTATCCTAATCGAAATGAGTATTTTCCCATCTTGTCTCTTCCCCAGATTTGTATGTCTGGATTAGGTTGAGGAGGTAATGGAATCTGTCTGATTCGCTCCCTGTCATTAGGTTGGAAATTGGCCTACAATACATTGCTTTTCCATGACCTAGTTTCCCAATCAATCAGACTCGATACCTTCTCTGTGATTCCTAATCCAGTTACTTGAGATTGGATTTTGAAATCATCTGCTCCAAGAATCCATCGATCCCACCATATCCGAATGTTTTCTCCATCTCCTACCCTCCATCTCATGCCTTCCTTTACTAATGAATGTGCTTGCATTAAACTCCTCCATATGTAACTAGGGTTAGATCCCACTGCAGCTTCAAGAATGTCACAATGAGGGTAGTATTTCGCTTTTAGAACCTTTGCCACTAGTGTTTCAGGCTTCTTTAGGAGATTCCAAACCTGTCTTCCAAGTAGTGCAACATTAAAACCATGGAGGTCACGAAATCCTATTCCTCCTTCAAATTTTGGCCAACACAGTTTCTCTCAGCTCATGCAATGGATTCTTCTCCCTCTCTTCTCCTTCCCCGCCAAAAGCTTGCAATCATACTCTGAATTTCCTGTAACACCCCAAGTTTTGGGTTCAGGTTCGATCGTAATACGTGAACGGTTGAATCGACGACAGTTACGTACAAAGGATTACAATAGTGAATTAGGCATAATATTATTATTATTATTATTAACAATTATTATTATTATTTATTATAGAAGGGGGTTTTCTCACCCGTTACTTCCCCCACCCGTTACTATTCCATTTAACCCAAAATTTTACCCCGTACTCATAATTAAGCCTAAACCTAAACCTGATACACCAAAAGCCCTCTGGTAGCCGAAACCCATTAGCAGTGCCGCCTCCTTCTCATCAACGCAAACCCACGTGTCGCCGTCGTCCTCAACGTGAGTAGGTGGAGCCCTTTTAATTCCCTCCGTTGGAGGCAATGAAGAGGAAGAAGAAGCTCCTCAAGTCCCTCATCATCACCGCCCCAGCAAATTGGTCCACCATTGCTTTTTGGGCTAATACCACTACAACACCCGAACTATGACAAAAATGCCACTTGTGTCCTATTCTTTCCAATATTCCATTTGTGTCCTATTGTATGATATTTTTGTGCCATTTGTATCCTGACGATTTCGTTGACCGTTAGAGATAACGGTTGACCAGACGGAAGTCAAATTATTGTTGACTTTTGCTGATGTGGCAAAATTGAGGCGGCCACATAGATGACACGTCATTGACACATCAGATTTTAATTCAAAATCAATTAATATTTATAAAAAAAATCCCAAAATTGATTTCGGCACGCCGTCGCTCCTTCTTCTCCTCCGACGGAGCTGCTTCATCTTCTTCTTCCTTCGAACCAGCTCCATCTTCTTCTTCCTCCAAACAAGCTCCATTTTTCGTGCCCTCTCCCCTCATTCCGACCTGCACTTCTCTAGCCCTTATCGCGCAGCCATTGCTTGCAAAACCCATACAACCTCTCACTATTCGCCTCTCTATCTCTCAAACTTTTTCTCAACCCTAAAACCATCGATGCCGACGAGCTCACCCTCTTCAATGGCGATGAACACTGGAGAAGAAATTAGCCCCAATAACTTCCTCTCGGTTCCCTCATGATGATTTGCTCCTGCCCCATCTATCTATTTCTTTCTCGTCCCTCAGGGCACCTCCCTACCTGCATCATATCCAATGGTGGCCACGCCGCCGCCTACAACTTAACCCCTAAATTGAAACCAAATCGAAACCAGAGTTAACCCCTAAATTGAAAAGAAATCGAAAGGAGGAATAAGAAATTGAGGCCCGGTGAATCCTTCTCTGGCTCTTCTTCCACCCCCGCTCGATGGAAGATTGTAAGGGAGTCAATTTTAGCAGGGGAATAATGACGACCTCTTCTACTACCCTAATCGATGAACAAGAACCCTCCTCCTTCGATCTCTTCTTTCCATTGGGAAAAAAATAAAAAACCAGACAGATCTGAAATAGTTTTTTTTCGAGCATTCTCGTGAACAACGGCGACCTCGCATGTATCCTCGTCAACCCCGGCGTCTTCGAATCACGGCGTCTTCGCAAGATCCCCGACCTCAATCGGGTGGATTTCCTCCCGCACAAGCGCCTGCTGCTATCCTCTCTTATGGCAATCCCGAAAGATTTGGTCGGAGTAACAGAAAGAAGAAGAAGCCAGACGTTGGTAAAAAACCATTTGAGTTATTGTTTTATTTTTGTAATTTTCCATTATTTTTATTTTGTTTTCCTTATTATTTTATATGGAAAAATAAATGAAAATTGATAATAAAAATTCCACGTCAGATGCCACGTCAACGATGACTGGATTTTCTGTTAAATACTAACGGTCAACGCCGGTCAACACTAACAGTATAATAGTTCAGGACACAGATGGAATATTGGAAACAATAGGACACAAGTGACATTTTCCGGATAGTTCGGGTGTTGTAGTGGTATTAGCCCTTGCTTTTTCTTTTCCTTTGCACCGTGACCGCCAAGCTGTAAAGACAAAACCACCATGGGATTGAGGTATGAGTCTCCGAAATGAAATTATATTAATGATGATGGTTTATTTCATCCAATCTCGAGGCTAAAAGGGAATTGAGGATTATCGTTCATGGAATTGAGGCGGTGGGAAGAGATTATGCATGAGCACCCATTGTTATACACGAAGGGACTTATATGCATGGCAAAGATGAGAGGTGATTTTGAAGTGGGGTTTGGTGAAGTTTTGTTGATAGGTGGACATGGAATTGGTTCCACGTGAAATCAAGTGGAAGTGGTGCATGATTGGCCACATATTGTTCAAGGATTTCAGTACTAACCTGAACTCATTATGTATAAAGCTGGTGATGCGTTCAGAAGGAAGAGGGATTTTAACATCATATGAAGGATATCGAGTTATCATGAGGAGCAACAACAAAGAATAAGGTGAGTGTAAAGGGGGTAAATTCTACGCCTTACGTATTCTTTCAAGTATTAGAGTTTTCAGTATTTTGTGAAGTGTTGCTATGGTTGTTTATGCTCATGATTATGTGCTTGTTTGAGTTGTGGTTT